CAGGATGCCCGGCCAGCCCCCCGCCGCAGAGAAGCCACACCCATGACCACCCCACCACACCGCCAATGACCAAGTGCACCTCCCCAGCCATCCACCCCCCCGTAACCCGGCAGCCACCCCGGCCAGAGGGCAACCCACAGGAACCAAGAGCCACACCTTAGGAGACCAAGCAGCACCAGGGAGGATGGAGAGCCAGCCCCGCCCCGGCAACCATCCAAGCCCCGAGCCCACCCACAGCCCAGGACCGCACCTGGCGGCCCGCTCTTCTTCAGGACCCCCTCCTCAAATGGCAGTCGGGGAACGGGATGGGAATAAAGACCCTGATACCCACACCCCCACCCCCAGATGTACTGTTGGTGTGTGTTGTTCTACGGAGCAATTAAAAAGACAAAGAAGAAGAGGCAGAGGCCGGCGTGGTGCCAGTTTCCCCTCCACCACTACTCTAACCCAAAACCCTAAGTGTCTATACCCTAAAACTAACTTAAACTCAGTTCACACCTTGGTCCTAAACCCAACCCCCAACCCATCAATGGCATTTAAACCAAATGGGGACTCGACTTTTGTCCCCAAATGCACCAGTTGTCCCCAAATGTAGGAWTTTTGTCTTAAAATTGGCCCCAAATGTCACCAAAAACAACCCCTCCCACACACAGAGAAAGAGATGCTTTTAAAGGCAAATGCTTACACATTAAAATTTATGAGTCTCCCATTAATAAGCAAACAGAAGCCAAGAACAACCAGACCTGTCATTATTAATCTTAATGTGATGTGTTGAGATTGTGATTTAACTTTTCTGTTTTAACTTTTAACTATTAATGATCTCATCAGTGGTATAAGGTGCAAAAACAAACAGTTCTTGTTTCACAGCTTTCTGACATGAAACAGATCAATAACAGTAATGTGGAATTTTGTTGATGAGACATTTCAGCTTAAATCTTTTACCAGTATTTCACAAAATTACAAAATTATGTATCAAGTAACTTTGAACTTCTGGCAGATGAAGAATAACTAGAAATGGAATACACTGGATGAGACTTATCAGTGAGGTACCTGAATTATAAGTTAACCTTCTTCTTCTTCTTCTTCTTGTGAGAGGAGGGTGAGTGGAGAGCGGAAGAAGAGCGAGAGTGAGAGTGAGTATTTAATCACTGTCTTGGTGTTTTTTCTTGCTGTTTTTTCACTGGGTGTTTATGTTAATTGTTTAGTTGTGATTTTGTGTTTGTTTTGTCTCGTTTTTAGGGTTTTTTGTTTGGGTTCGGGTGTGGCCGTCAGGTGTGCCTGGCTGGCCGGCGTCTAACAACGCCATGGTTGTTGGTGGTGGGGGTTTCTCCACGCTGACACGGAGGAACGGTGTCAAGGTGGGCGCTGGTTCTCCATGCAGCGTGGAAGAAGTTTGTTTGGCTGTCAGGAAGGTGGTTGGACATGGGTCCATTGGATCGGCAGCTTGCATGAACGGAGCTGTCATATTGTTTGTTGAGAAGGTCGAGCAGGCTCAGCAGTTGGTGGAGGTGGGCGTTTCTGTGAATGGCTTGTTTTTACAGGTGACGCCGCTAACATTACCCTCAACTAAGATAACTTTATCAAACGTATCTCCGTTCATAAGTGACGAGTTTTTGATCAAAGAGCTGTCCCGACATGGTAAAATAGTTTCACCGGTGAAAAAAAGTACCCTCTGGGTGCAAATCACCGTTACTAAAACATGTTGTCTCCCACAGAGACAACTGTTTATGGTATTAAATCGGAGGGATGAAGAATTCAACCTTCGATTTCATGTTAGAGTAGATGATTTTGATTACATCTTGTTTGCTACATCTTCTAGCATGAAGTGTTTCGGTTGCGGTCAGGAGGGGCTCATTATTAAAATGTGCCCCGACAGGGCCGGACCGGCCCCGCCGAGTGCAAAGCAGCAGCCCGCTGCGGCTAAGCAGGTGGGGAGCCAACCTGGTGAGGCTGGAGCAGCGGAGGATCCCGCTGCCGCGGCGGAGGAACCCGCGGCGGCTGCGGTGGGAGAACCCGCGGTGGTAGTGGATGAGCCCGCTGCAGAAGAGCAGGCGGAAGGTACTGTTGAGGTGTCAGGAGTGGAAAGTGTGAAAATGAGTGTAGGCGTAGGGATGGATGAGAGCACAGTGTTGTGTGGTGATGGGGTGAATGGCGGTGGTGATGGGGTGAATGGCGGTGGTGATGGGATTAATGGTGATGGTGATGGAGTGAATGGTGGTGAGGGTGAAAGTGAAGTGAGGGAGAGAAATGGTGTGCAGGGAGAGCAGCAGGTGAAGGTGAGGGGCGATGAGGAGCATTTAGGGTGTGGGGATCAGGGAGGGAAAGGAGAGGTGCAGGTGGAGGAACAGAATGATGCAGAGTTGGTTTTTGGAACTGGAGTGGCAGGAGAGACAAGTGAAACGGAGGAGGCGATGGAACTGGAAGCTTCAGCCCCGTTAAAGAGGCGAAGCAAAAGGAGGAATGTGGTGACGGCTGTACAGGCCAGCAAGCAGGCCTGYAAGCTGGCTGCAGAGAGGAAGGAGGTGTCGGACAGCAGCGACAATGAGAGCTGGTTCTCTGACAACAGTGAAATATCTGTCACACAAATGAGTTGCAAAACACCCAGATACCCTGTAGNGTACTACAGTTCTGCCATGCATCTCCTGTATTTTGTCATCCGGGCATAAGTAAAACTGAGGATCTAGTTAAGTCACAGTTCTGGTGGGGTTCCTTATCTAAGGARGTTAGAGAGTTTGTTGGGGCTTGCACCCAATGCTCACAGGCTAAACCATCTCGACGTCCACCAGCGGGTCTCCTTCGGCCGCTCCCCATTCCCTCACGCCCTTGGTCACACCTTGCCATGGACTTTGTTACAGGCCTACCACAGTCTGGGGGTAAGTCTGTCATCCTCACTGTCATAGACAGATTCTCTAAGATGGTCCATCTCATAGCCCTAGAGAAGTTGCCTACGTCTAAGGAACTGAGCGACATCATGATTAAAGAAGTCTTTCGCCTTCATGGCTTACCTAAGGACATCGTGTCCGACCGTGGTCCTCAGTTCATCTCTAAATTCTGGTCTGAATTTTGCACTTCTCTAGGGATCGAACTAAGCCTGTCTTCAGGTTTTCACCCCCAGACTGATGGCCAGGCGGAGCGAGCCAACCAAGAAATGGAGACCCGTCTGCGTATCCTCTGCGGCAACGACGCCACCACTTGGGCCAAGCATCTCCCCATCGTCGAGCATGCCATGAACTCCCTGCCATCCAGCGCCACAGGTCTGTCTCCTTTTTATGTCATGTATGGTTATCAACCACCCGTTTTTGCTACCCAGGATCGTGCTGCTATTGTCCCGTCTGCCTTCCAAGCCGCCCAACGCTGTCAGAGTCTGGAGGAAGGCTAGACAACAATTGCTAAAATCATCAGCCATCTACACCCGATCGGCCAACCGTCATCGTACACCTGCACCTGCCTACCAAGTAGGCCAGAAGGTATGGCTGTCAACAAAGGACCTGCCTCTCCGGGTAGATTGTKGAAAGTTAGCCCCACGTTTCATTGGCCCATTCCCCATCTCCAAGATCATCAACCCTGTCGCAGTCAAGTTAACACTTCCTAGAACCATGAAGATCCATCCCACATTCCATGTATCCCGAGTCAAGCCTGTTCAACTGTCAAAGTTTTTGCCCGCCTCCAGGCCCCCTCCTCCCGCC